GTCTACAGGGTGTTCAGGGTTGCACTACTAGATTGGACTCCTAGTGCTCTGCCTGTTTACAGACTCCCAAGAGCTGGAATTATAGGCACGTGCCACTTCCAGTCTCAATTACCATCTCAGCATGCCCTGGGGGCGAGGCCAGCATGGCAGGCCCAGGGATTGGACTCCTGGCCCCTGAGACTGCTTGCAGGTACTTTAATCCACTGAGCTATTTGGCCAGCCCTAAGCATTTGAAGTATTCTAAGGTAGTATTTCAACAAAGGGTAAACAATTTGGCTAGCTTTAGTCCTTGTTAGGCAGCAAAGTTGTAATCTTAGGCTAACTACTAACAAAACAACAACCAGATCTATTACTCAAAAACTAATAAAGAATAGAATGTAAGCATTTAAAGAAAATAAAGGTTTAAGCTATTTAAAGTAGCAAGAAAGAAAAGAAAGCTAGTCTATTACCACTGAAATAAATTCATAAGCAAGCTCCATATTCAATGGATCTAGGTAGAGGTAGAAAAATCTTAGTGAAAAAGAATGAAGCCATGCCCCAAAGCAGGTTAACGGCTAATGACAGAACAAAGGAAAAGACTGTGATGACAAGAGACAAATGGCTATGTTGTGGCTTCTGGGAGACTGCAGGGGTTTTGCTTACATAGCTGACTGCTAACAATGATTAAAACGGACATAGATGGAGCACGGTGTGGTTCTTCAAGAGGCTGAGACAGAAGGATTTCCTAAATACGAGCAGGAGTCCAAGACCAGCCTGGGCAATGTAAAAAGAAATGCCATCTAAAAATAATAGTAATAATCCATTCTGCATTGACACAAATTAGTTCTGCGTTATTTTACAATGACTATTTTAAAATTGAAAGGGAGTTATAAATCAGAATATAGTTGTTTAAAATTATGAGAATATGAGAAAGATCATTTTATTCATGATCCCGAAAATTTCTATCTAGAGGATAATGGGCCAAGCTATTTTAGTCTGAGGTAAACTGAACAAAGTAGGGAGCATGTATGTATACTTTAAGGGTTGTCTCTTTTCTTTATAAAGCTTGTCTTGAGATTGTAATCTTTCTATGTCATGGGATTGTGGTAGTTTATCATGTGTTTTCTGATATAAAATGATAATGATAATAGGTGGTTTGTTACTGTTTAATGTCCTTTAAAACAAACCACCAGAATAGCTCTGTCATCCTTTTCCTCTAATAGGTCACTGAGGACCCAGAGCCTGTGAATCACTAATTTACACAAACCAGTGAGTTGATTTACATGCCTATTTTCAGAGAGAGGTCCTTCAAATAATCATGTCGCTTGGATATTGTTAGGGACTACATGCTTGTAGTCCCTTAGAATTCACATGTTGAATCTTCAACCTTGGAGTCATGATATTAGGAAGTGAGGCTTTCCGCAGGAGATAAAACCATGAAGGCGGGGCCCTCGTTAATGGAGACATGAAGATACACAGGGTGTGTGCTCTCTTTTACTGTCCACCATGTGAGGTCACAACAAAGCAGCCAGATGCACACCAGAAAGTTTACTTTCACCAGACACCAGGTCTCTCAGTGCCTCAGAATTGCTATTCTCCAGAACTGGCTTTAAGTGTCTGCCTTTCAGGACTACAGCACTGTTGCGACAGCCCTAAGCAAACCAGATATATACTCAGATAGCTGTAGTGAGAAAGAAAAGTAGCCAAACTTGGAGTGTGGAATAAGGTATAAATGATGTGCCATAGTAAATATAAGGTGGTACGAGGGAGAGCCAATGGAAGTTTCCAGGTGGAAGCTCTTGAAAATGTGTTCCAGCACACAGGAGGTTACATCTCGAGACCAAATGGGTGCATTATTCCCTCTGCAGTATTACTCAGTACTGGACAAAAAATTTTATACTGCTCCTGAATTCATAGAGAATTATGGATTCATAGTTCTCTTTTTGAAAGCTCTGAATGACAATGTTCCCATAATTAATAAAGTCTCACTACTGTAAATGTCTTAATTACCTTAAGTGCAAAGTAATATAGTATAATAATGTTTTCACTATGCAACATTCTACAGTGTGGATTATGGGTTTATGTATCTTAGTAACACACAATAATCATTAATTTTTTCCTGGCATGTTTTGTTTTTGTTGCTTATTAATTCTGTTGGCAGGTATCACTGCCTCCATCCCACAGGTGAGGAATGGAAGCTCAAAGAACCTGAGTGACTTTGCCAGCCCTTAAGTGGCCAAACAGAACTGAATCCCTGTGGTTCAACTTCAAAGCAGACTCTCAGCTACTTTCTTGCTTTGTCTCACCAGCGCATTAACATTCAAAGATCATTCTATACAGATTAAAATACTATTTGCTCTTTAAACTGCATTTTGCAATCACTCAGGCAGCTTCTACTGACCCCTTGGAGGAAAGGACAGGCTTTTTCCCAGAAGCACAGTGAGCTCTAGGACACAGCTAAGGGGGTACAAGGGAAATGCAGAAATGTGAACATAAATCTCTTTTAAAATAAAACCACAGCATCTTTAATCAAGGCCTGGCAATCATCATATCGGTTCTTTGAGACTTGAATTGGTAAATGTAGGCTATCCCACTAGGCCTTTAATGCTTAGTTAGAAATGAATCCAAGACATTGACTAGCAAGACAATTCTTGCAGTACGAACATGAATCTATAATTCTCTCGCCATTACCACAAAACAGTTAGCTCCTGCCCTGAATTCACTTTGAAGACAATGAGTGCCTGGGAGAAACCATAAGAGCATTGAAAATCGAGCCAGAAGTAATAAACAGGGACTGCCAAAATATCGTAATGAATTTCTTTTACAAGTCGGATCTATTGTCAACTTACAACAATTCTGAAGGTTGAACTCAAGGCATACAATTAGTGAGCTAAGTTGCAAGGTTTGCCTACAATCCAAAAGCCACTATTCTTTCACCTGTCTACAATTAAAGAGCTGAGAATTATGTCTCCTGGTACGAAGAGATTAAAATAATAAAATAAAAGGAAACCAAAAGCTTTAATATGGCATGTAATCTCTCCCATTATCCCAGCACATTCACGTAAACTGCGCACCAATGGAATTCTTCTCGCTCGGCGGGGTGGAGATCATCTTCACAGCAGCCAGACCCAGCGAGGGGAGTGACTTCCCTCCTCCCGACATCGCCTTAGAACTCATTCGAAGGGAAAACAATTGCCTTGCAAGTGCATGGGAGTTGTTTTGTGCCTGGCCCCCAGGGTATTTTCTTTTTCTTAAAAAGATTATCTCAACTTTACTGTAGCCAAAAAATGAAAACAAAACAAAACCCTAAAACAAATGTCTAAGGCAGTTTGAAAATACAAAAGACCAAAATATATTTTTTAATTTATTCATAATTAGTTTACAGATTGGACCACACCGAGACTCCAGAATCAGCAAGCCACTTGGGGAATAAATGCTACTGCAATTATCAGTACCAAGCCAAATGCTACCTTTTGTTCTTTCTAAAATCTTCTTTAGAAACATCTCTTAGCAAATGATTTTGTATTTTCTATTTAAAGAGGATTACATAGCACACGCGACTAGTAGCTGGGAAGCAAAGAACTTGCCCTCATTGTATTACTTGCAAATATAAATTAGTTCATCATGGTAACTCCTGGTGGATGACCCCCTTTCCTCTCACCCATCAGGCCAATGGGCTCTGGCAGGTTGGCTCCCCCGCCCGGAGTCCTCCTCGTCAGGGTGCTGTCAGATGTGCTGCTTGCCTACAGTCTCCTGCATCTTAGGGAAGTTCCTCCGTTCAGGCAGATGGTTTTAAGCTTGAATTGCTCTAGTTGCTAGCTCTGAGTTCCTCCTCCTAACTCTCAGACTCAGCTCCCTGGAGGCGTATGGGAGGCCCTCCTCCAGGTACGAAGGAACCCTACAAATTTCACTTCGCAGTAATGACAGGATACAGAAATTGCATTAGTCCCATTAAATAGTCATAGAAATATTCAAAAAGGTTAGCTGGATATCGTGAATATCTCAGTTAGACTAAGATAAAAAAATCACTTTGTTAACTTAAAGTGTTTCTTCATTGGTATCACCCTATATTAAGGTGCCATTTATAAACAGTTTATTATTATTTATTAATGTGCAAAGCACTATATAGCATGCTAGATAACTTAAATTCATGTATTAAAGATGCACATACACGGTTTAATACGATTTACGTCTTATAATATTCTTTAAAATAGCTTCCCATAGTCTCATCTGTTAAGCATTTACTACTAATGCATTTTATAACATACTTTATAATACATTATTTGAGCAAGTGGCTGCATATAGTGATTATTTCATAAATAAGAATAAAGCATTTATAAATGGCACCTTAATTTAAAGTGTTACCTCCACATTACTAGATAGCTGCTCACCATTCATCTCATTTTGTGATTATCCTCCAAACGCACCACTTAATAAAACAGACACTAAGTTCTATTTTCCCTTCATCTGATTAAAAGTTTATTGAGTCGTTACCCCCATCTGCTTTCCAGTGTTGGTAGCACGGAGGCTTTAGTGTGATTTCTGATGAAACCAAACTATTAATTCAGCAATATATTTGAAGGAAATAAAAGAACATTAGAAGTGGAGTTCTACCTACCATATTGGACAGAGCCTGCTGCTTGGATTCTTTGTAAAATTCAATTTTTTGGCTAGAAAGAACAATCCAGGAAGTAGACCAGTTTTTCCTGAGGAAGAGGAAAAGAAAAATAAAAAAAAAAACACTGTTGTTAGAAAAAAGCATGTATACAAAAACAGTGTTGGCCACATTTATTAATACAGTGTGACCAAAATTCCAAATGAATAAAGATTTTTAAAAACTAGTTACCCTAAATATCATATCCTTTTTAAATTCTAAAAATAGTATGCAATTCTGATAACAATACAGTCAGAAACATTAAAAATGTAACTTTTATATACAAGTTTCTTAATTTTTTGACCCTCCTAAAATCTCTTCAACTGCTGTCAAATCTTTTGCATATCCATGAACTTCCCTGCCATAGAAAGACTGTAGAGAGCTGAAAGTAGAAATGTAAAATTCCTTGAAATCAGAACCCTTTTCCTCTGATCTTCTTTGTATTAGGTTAGGAATTTCAGTCTGAAGACTAGCACGTGTATCATTGCTTAATTCAAAACATTTCCTTAATGTTGACTCTCATTAAAAGTTAAAGAAAAGCAGTAATGTGCGGCCCAGAGAGATAGACTGGTGGACTAAGTGCCTGCCTAGGCAAGCACAGGGACTGGGTTTGATCCCAGGCCATGCTGGCCCCACCCCCAGGCGAGCTGAGCTGGCCGCAGAGTCTGGGCCTGGTGGCACACACCTGTAATCCCAGTGCTGGGGAGGCTGAAAAAAGAGAATCACTACAAATTCAAGCTGTGTAGTGAGACCCTGTACCAAATACATAAACAAACAAACAAACATATGAGAAAAACAGTGATGTCTTTGTCCCTCTTTGCCCATCAAATTGCCAAAGATTAAAAGGTAAGGTGACATATTAGGGTTAAGGAGGTTATAAGAAGTGGAGTTTATCACTATTTGTTTTGCTTTTGTATTATAAAAAAGAGGACTGCTTAAGAATTTGTTATATAGTCAATGATTATAATGCATTAATGAACACTGTGGTACAAAAGAATACTGATGTGGAAGTTTAATGCAGACCATAATGCTATATGTAATTTATAACACCATCCTGTGCTGTCTACTTACCTTCATTCATGCCTCGTTCCTGATTATTATTTCTATTCATCAGATATTCAAATACTGCTTCCTCAAATGTGCCTTGTGTAACTTAATTGCATATGACATAATACAAATTTTGTAATATTTAAAAATTTCCCCTTCTTGTCCTCCACTAAAAAATAAGGCCCAAGACAATAGGATCATCTCATCCTTACAGCAGTTTCTTTCATGCCTTAGCCCAGGCATTTGGAGAGGTCAGGAACTGAATCAATATTATTGGATCAGTACTTTGGACTAGAAAAAAGAGGCTAAGACACAACAATAATCATAAACTAGGATGGTTAAATAGTTTCCTTTTATATCTCTTATCACTTATGAGTTATCAAATTTCCTGACAACCGGTTACTTCTGTGATTAGAATGCGTGTTGCAGCGTCACGCTGACCACTCTTTACGTCAAGGGCATTAACATGCTCAGATTTCTGCCCTTTATGTCATGCTACTGGAGTGTGCTATGGGTTAATGCTCCTTTCACAATCAATGAATTTAATTTATTATGAAAGAGGTAAAAAGAAAACGAAAAGTTTACAGAAAGACTTTACTCAGGTCAACAGAAAACTGTCAAAAATGTCAAAAAACACAAACGTTGTGTGATTTCTTTTCCCTTGCCTCTGAGAAATGAAGGCCTTGATTGAAAAGAAAGCTATGATTCAGTAGGGTTAATATTTATGGAAAAAAATCAGGTTGCTCTTACAAGCCCACAACTTTCTTAATGACACAGCATTATGTTAAAAAAGAAGAGAATTAACAGATACCTAAGAAGCACAAAGTGAATTTTCCAACAAATACAAATGTGCTCTTGAATCCCCTTGTCTTCAAATGAAGAGCAAATTTTTCAAATGATAAAGAAAAGAAATTCTTAAACATTTTTCCCCACCCACTCTAGAATTTATTTCTCCTTTAGCAACCAGCAGAAGCACTGAACTCTGAAACAGATATAGCTGGGCTGGCCTCGTAGTGCAGGCCTGGAGTCCAGTACTGGGAAGGCTAAAACAGGAGGACTGTTCCAAGTTCGAGGTCACCCTTCTCACATTGTGGGCTCAAGCCCAACCTGAGCTCCATGCAAAACCCTCTCAAACAACCCACCCCAATATCCACAAAAAGAGGAAGACAAAACAAAACAAAAAAAGAAACAGGCATAGCTATTTTGTGTGTGCAAGTCATAATACCAGATGCAGTTAGGACTGCTGGTCTAGACTGGATGTCTTTTGTCACGGCCCTCCTTTGAGGCACATGTGGTCAGGGAGTATAGAACACACTCACATATAACAAATCCATATTTAACCTGCCTGCCATATTTCCCATGCTATTTTTCATCTTCTGGCAGGGAGATACTATACCTTATTTGCTTCCTATCTATAGAAAATCCTGGATAAATGGTTGTGATTTGAATCTGTTTCAGATGTTGATCCTTTATAGAACTTGCTGGCAAAACTCTCCCTATCCTGAAACTTGGAACTAGAGCTAGTTCAAACTGAGCTGCATGAAATTCAATTATCTCATTGTTCTGTCTTAGGACTTTCCACCGCAGTGAACTGCGTCCCTGTCAGGTAAACCAGAGGAGCCAGTGGGAGACGGGAGGAGCTGCAGATCCCACAGGCTTGGTAATGTGACCTGGAGGGCTCTAAATGGCGCTTATTTCTTCTCGAATTTATATACAACTTAGATTGTCTTTACCATGTTACAGTGGGAGGAAAAGCTTCTTCAAAGCCTGGGTGTTTTTATTCATTTCAAAATGAAGATGCTGCTGACAAAATTCATTGCTTTTCTTTCAACTTTTCCCTATAAATTGCTTTAAAATAATATTTTTTCTAAAATAGTTTCTGTGAAAAAGTATCAATCTGACTATACAGTTGAGGCTCAGCTTCACACATTCACACAAAACATTAACAATAACAATATGTCCACATAATAATGTGAAAAATGAGGCTCAGAGATTTTAGGGAAACTTAAGGCCAACATTTACATTTAAAGTTAAAGCCATTTGTTTTCTTACAAAAAAGCCTACAACGTCTATTACTTGATGCTGTCTTTTCAAAAGATTAAAGTTTTGCTATCTTAGATAAAGGTATCATGGTTGTCAGCTTTTAACATAGTTTTGGTGGAAATCCTCAAATGAGGAGGTTTTGTATGGATATTGTGACAAGTAGTCAACATCTGGCTCACTTGCTAACTTTTCTCAGAATCCTTTTAGCAAGACAGGCAAAGCCTCACCTCTCCTGTGCTCCATACCAGAACTTCTTTCAGAGGCCTCTGATTTCTGAGACATTTGTCATAATATGAGTTGTCCCGGTGATTGGGTCCTGTCCTGTAGCTGATGTGCCACCTGGTTTGCCATGTGCATCATGGAACTCAACCACCAAGCCAGCTAGGAGTACTTGTTGAACATTCACCCTTGCCAAACACCACTCTGAGGGCTGATGGTACAAATCGAAGTAAGTGAAGACAGACAATAAACATAGAAACATGTAATCCTCTGAATAAGTCAACAATGAGTGATTTCTCCACTCTACCAATGAGAAAACTGAAACAAAATGAGGGGCGTCTTATGCAAGGTGCACAGATCATAAAGACAGAAGTCAGGCCAAGTGTCCTGGGCCCCGAAGCCCAGCCCCATCCCAATGTCCTGCCTGTCATGAGCAGGTAGGCAGGGAGCACTCCCTTTAGTCTTTTTTCTTTTTTCTTTTCTTTTTTTTTTTTTTTTTTTTTTTTTTTTTGGTGGAACCAGGGATTGAACTCAGGTCCTTGTGCTTGCCAGGGAAGCGCTTATTCCACTGAGCCATCTCCCTGGCCCCTCCCTTTAGTCTTGATGATCCCCTCTATATGGAACCTCATAATAGAAAGTTGAGAGAGGGAAAGCAATCAGTGAGGAGTTATTAGAACATTTTCTCCATCTCAGCTTGACCCAGGCTATTCTGCAGCTCTAACCTGACAGCCCCTACATCCTGGCTTCCAACCTACCTGATGGCCAATAGGTAAAGCCGCCCCTCATTTTTAGTATATGTGCTGCCGAAGCGAGCACAAGCCGCCCCTCAGAGGGAGCTAGTTGGCGCCTCCACATTTCATCATTGTATTCAGAGTGTGACTTCTTTTTTTCCTCCATGGACCATAAGGCTGAGATATTGAGAGATTTAAGGCTTAAGACAGACACACAGCTCAGAAAATACTCCAGTTCAGCAAGCTAGAGGTCCCAGGAGAAAGTGAATCAGTTCCAGGATTCTATTTACAGATACAGTCAATCAGTTACAGGACTGATGCTAGTGACTCAATTCAGAAAACAAATCCTGGAACAGAAGCACAGGTATCTATTTGATTTTCTGACACATCGCATTTATCACTATATAAGTAATGCTGGGAGGAAATGATGCTGACTACAACAAAGGAGGGCTAAATTAATACAGAGGCAATTATGCAAAATATATGCAACTTCTAGGGCATCATATCCAAAGGGAACACTTTACAGAACTTTCTTAAAACAAATTCTGAGTTGTCGAGTTGGAAAATGAGGAAAAACAAACAAAACTCCCAACTAGACAAAATACCCCCAAAGCAAAGCCAAATACCTCCACGCATTTTCAGCTTGACGTTCTACAAAACGGACACCGGATGGCAGCACATAACAGCAGGTCTATGACTGCTTGCGTGGGGAGCGCGAGATGGAGACCGGCCCTTCCATCAGTCATTACGGTAAGTATCCTAAGTCTGAGCTCCGGGTTTCACAAATGCCTTGATCCTAACCAACAAAGTTTCATATCCTATATTAATCTATGCTTCACAGCCACAAAACAAAAAGTCAGAGGAAAATATAAATGAGATGATTTCAGACATGTCAGAATCTTTTTGTGGGTCACCCGTTGCTATTACCGGCCACTGAATTTGAGCTGATTCTGCAGAGGTAGTAGGAGCGAAAGTTATTTAATACAGCGTCACAACTGATTTCCTGCTGATATCCCTCGGACACTAAATGCTCTGACTTTTTCTCAGACTGGTAAGTCTAGGAACTTCTTCTCTTTGGTTTTATTCTAAACTCCTTGCAATTTACCACTGCTAAAAGGTAAATTAAAGAGGTGCTGCAAAAGTACCCACCATGTCAGGATTGCAAGAAAATGAAGACGGATTCAGCCTACCACAATTCCCTGCCACGCTGAGCAAAAAGTAGCTTCAGACAGGCAATGGCTACTTACAGTTTTGGGGATGGAATTCCCCAAATGAAGAAATTCCTAGCTTCATCAGAGGAGCAGAAGCATAATTTCAACATTCATAATTAAAAATTAAAGTTGAACTGAATGTATTCTGCTTTCAAGCCTGTCAGTGTATCACAGGGGAAATGTGTATAACCTCATTTTGAAATAAGGCTAAATTTAGGGCCTTTTATGAATATAAGATGTAGCCAACAAGTTCTATTTCCTGTCACCTTCTCCTTTTCATATTCAAGTAAGTCAAATTTTTTAAAAGAAAAAGTGAAGCCATATGAAAGGGCAATACGGGCAAATAAAAAAGAAAGGAAAAGAAAGGGAGGAAGAAAATATGGAAATAATACAAGATGTAAATGACCTAGAAAGGATTTAATAGAAAATCCATCATAAACTTAGAAGACAACACTTATTAAATGACAATGGATGCTGTTGGGACTATCCCTGGCATGAGACAATGGTCAAGTTCTGTCTCTTGGCTTCCCAGAGGAAGGTTTTCATTTATTTATTTATTTATTTATTTATCTTTTTATCTAAAAAAATTATTCATTTTAATGAGAAAAAAAGATAAAATAGCAATGAAACAGTTTCAGGGCCTGTCAAATAGCTCACCGGATGAAAGCACATGCAAGCAGGCGCAGGAACCCAGGGGTGGGGGTGCAAAGTGGCGGTCCATCCCCGGGCCTGCCCTGCCAGCCCCACCCCCTTGGCACCCTGAGATGGCAATTGAGACTGGGCATGGTGGCACGCGCCTGAAATCCCAGCTCTCAGGAGCCTGAGAACAGGTGGATCACTATGAGTCCAATCTAGTAGTGAGTCCCTGAACACTCTGTAGACCCTTCCTAAAATACAAAATGAAAAAAGAAAAGAAAAGAAAAAGAAACAGTCTCAAAAACAGGTTAGTAGGACAGTTACAATAATTAATACATTGCATATTGTTGTCTTCATAGTAGTTATTCAGAGGACAAGATGAACACATGATATCTTGTCTGAACACTATTAGAACAAACCTTTCTTCTCAATGAACTAAGAAAAAGTAGATGTTTATCTATCCTAACTCTCTTGTATGTACATATATATTTTTTTCACTAGATAACAGTCCTTTATTTATGTCCCTTTTTGTTTTGTTTTGTCCAAGATGGTTGTTCCATTGTTGTTACTTTAAAAGAAACACATTTTAAACCGAAGAGAGCTAAATTTCATGTTATCAATCCTCCCCATAATAACATGGAAGAAAGGTAGTATCAGCACATGTAACTAAGATTCTCTGTTTGTATAGCAGAAGATGGTACCTAAACCTAAGCCTAGCGTTAGTCATTCCAGGTTATGACTAAACTGACTATTTTGTTGCTGGTGATAAAACCATAAAAACAACTTGGACAACCAATATGATGATATACCAAAAAATGCATTATAAAATGTTCTTATAAATTGACCACATAATCCAGGCTTAGCATTTAACATTGTGGGATGCTATATGATGTTAAATATTGTACTTATATATACAGTGCTTAATTTGTGCAGTGCATATAGTAGAACCACGAACAAAACCCCCACAAATACAGGGAAATTATTTTCAGTGTCCAAAACTTACAAATTATTTCTATTTATAGCATATTATAAGTTCTACCTATCTAGCTATTTATCTATTTATCTATCTATCCCTGCCCTCTTGATATATAGAAACTCAATGAAAATAGTCAAAACTTTTGGTATAAAGACTGTTATGGTTTGTGTCTAGGTGTCCCCCACAAAGCATCATGCAGTCTTGGGGCAGCTCCTGGAGCTGTGAGTACTGTGGGTGTGGATGTTGTGCCTGCCCTGGGGCAGGTAACCTGCCTTTCAATGTAAGGAGGGAAGAGAAGCTAGCCACTTGAGCTGCTGCTACTCCTCCCTTCATGCTTGCTCTTTGTTGCTGCCGTGAAAGGCTGCCCTCTGCCTTGTGCTGCTCTGTCTTGGGGCCAGCGGAGTATGGACTGAACCCTCCAGTAACTGTGAGCCAAATAAACATTTCCTTCCTTCATTTTGAGTGTTGGGTATTTGTACCAGCAATGAGAGAAGAGCAACTAAGACAAAGACAATTCACACAATGCATAATCTTGACTCCAAACTAACTTAGTCTCATCTACAATACCAACCAGGACAATACAAATGAAAGCAGAATTGCAGGAAAAGTCTATAGTCATGAACTTGACAAAATTGAGAAGCTATGATAATGTGTTCCAGTAGGAGGATGGGGAGAAAGGTTTTCTACTACCTCACAGAGCTGCCAGTTCTAGCCGAGTGCCCTCATTCAGTGAAAGTCTGGAATTGTGCTCACTGGATGTATACTTGCCTAGTATCTTGCTCTACTGATTATATCCTCTGGAGAGCTTTCCTAACAGGTTCAAAGCATGTAGAATGTGATCATTGTTTGCATGGAAGGAATTGGAGCCAGTGTAGGTGTTCTTGCTTGGGAAAGAGGTTACATAAAATTTGAAAACACATACAAAGGCAAGCAGACACCAATCAGTAGAAATTGACTAGTTTTAAGTATAGCACCATAGATGCCCAAGGACTAATGGTAATGAGAGTAATAAAAGCATCGTGAGGTTTGTAATATAAAAATACATTTGCATATAGAATACATTCTCTTACACAGAATTACACACTGATTTTTTTTTCTCATGCATCTAGGCAAACACCTATTTGGAGGGTGGACCTGGTGAACAACTAGAATGCATGTCTACATGAGAATGAAGAGAGGGCTGGAGACTGAGAATGCAATGAAACTAACTAGGCACCTTCTTTCGAACGATGAAAGCTCAAGGGTCTAAACTGAAGGGTGTAATTAACTTAACTCCATGCACCTGAGAGAGTTTTAAAACAGGAAAACTAAAGAGAGCCAAAAGAATGCATGATAGTGATTGAAATAACAATAAAATTACAGATTAAAGCTTGCATGAGTTAAACTGCAATGCAGAGATTATATGTAAATTGATTAAGTTTGTTGTGTAAATAAGACAGGTGCACTGAGGTACATACACTGAAAAAAGTTTACTCATGAGTGGGAGAGATGGGAGGGTCCTCATTCCACCCTTCTGATTAATTTTGACACAACTTTTTTATTGTACCAGGGATCAACTCAGGGCCTCGTGCTGCCCAGGCAGGGACTACACTGCTGAGCTCTATCCACAGCAAATACAGTACAACATAAGGAAGGGAAGGTGGCTTGCTAGCTGCCTCAGCCCCTGCTCCTCCCTTTTGGTGCTTGTTCTTTGCTGTTTTTCCCCTGCCATAAACTGCTGCCCTCTGCCATGTGCCAGGCTGCCTTGGAGCCAGCAGAGTAGTGACTGAAACCTCCACTGACTGGGAGCAAAATAAACCTTTCCTTCCTTAACTTTGGGTGCTGGGTATTTTGTCCCAGCAACAAGAGAAATGTAAATGAGACAGAATTTGGTACCAAGAAGTGGGGCTGTTGCTATGTCTATACCTGAACATGTGGTGCAAGGACTGTGGGGAATAACTTATGGGAAGAGATAGGAAAACTTTGGAGATGTCACCTGAAAGGCAGTGCTGGAACACCTTCAGCTGTTCTGTATGGGAGGTTCTGGTTAGAGCTCAGAAGACCAGAATGCTGGTAGAAATCCTGCCTGTAAAAGACCAGGCTGGGGAGCTATCTTCCAGGGAGAACAGTATTGGTTGTTGGGCTCCAGGCAATATGTGTTATGGCTTTGCAGAAAGTTTGTCTGCATTTCATTTACACCCAGAGACTTTGCCTGAGACTAAGATTAAGTGTGGTAGAACAGCTAATCAGGCAAAAAATTTCAAGGTGGTAGAAGGTTGAAGCAGTGGCATGGCTTTTGTTGGGGACTGTTAGTCAGATTTATGTTGAGAAGCAAGAGTTAAGAACCCAGTAGGATGATTTAAAATATTGTGAGTTTGGCCAGAAAGAAAGCTACAATAAAACTATAGGCTGCAAAGATAGAGTGGAGAACATCTTCACTGCTGAGAAGAAAGAAGAGACTAGAAAAGATGGCCTGAGGGCATCACAAGAATCAGCAAATCTCCACCCTTTGCAGCCTCAGAACTGCAAAAGTGAAAGACTTTGCTTTGAGGAGAAAGCTGCAGAATGCCGTGTTCCAGAATGGCAGCATTGTAGAGAATTTGTTCCTCAGCATCAGGTTCAGACTCCAACAGCCAAGAGAGAAAAGTAACTAAGACAATGGAATTTCTTCTTTTATCTTGTGTTTTCAGATTTTTTTCCTTCCTTGAATGAAGAGGATGGATCTTAGGAATGTTTTAGTATTTCCACTGCTGTTTTAGGTGTATTATGAACACTTCTCCAATTTTACTTATTTTAAATAAGTGTGCATATAATCTAACATAGCCATACAACAAAAGCACATTTTATTCTCCACTATTGGCCAGAGTGTCATTCTTATAATTAATTACATTATATAATAAACAGCTGTTCCGTTGTGTAGGTAATGAGTACATTTATCCTACACAGCTTTAACTGTTAGTAACATACTCTTGAGTGAATGCGTGGTGTCCCGGTTTCAGCACTCTGTACATACTTTTCTATCTTGCTTTCACCTTCCACAATGCTAAATACAGAGTAGGACTGAGATGAGAAATAGTAAAGCTTCTAAAATGGAGATGGATTATTTTCTAAATACACAATACATGTAACTAATATCCTGAACTCTTCTATCAACCTTTCTTTTTTTCTGCAGTGATATGTGTTGTTACCTGAGAATTTCTTACTCCTTTTTAAATTTTTGTCATCTACTCTGCCTTTGTGATTTAATTTTTCTTTCATTCTGGTCATATAATATTTATTTGGAGCTAAAAGTTCAGAACAAATCATCTACTATTCAAAACATTTTTATTTTAAGATATGGTACTGAGATACTTTATTTTGTAAATGAGACCATTTATCATTTGATCTGTTAATTTCAAAATCAAGATATTTTACTCAAACTCTGTCATTATTTTTAAAAGATTTCAAGTCCAGGGAAAAAAGAAGCACT